GAGAAGTTGAACTAATTAGTGAAGGAAATAAGGGTTGCAGAAAATCAGAGTCAGAGATATCAGGGTGAGGAGGAAAAAAAGAATGATTAGAAGAAACAAATTTAAAAGGAAATATATCTTTATGAAAGATAACATCTCGGTTAACAAAAAAGGTTTTCAACTCAAGGTTGAAGAGAATGTAACCCTTTTTAGTAGCAGAATAACCAAAGAACACAGAAGGAATAACTTTTGATGAGAACTTATCCCTATAGTTTGGCTTAGTTGCAAAACATAAACAATTAAACAATTTGAGATGAGACAAATTTGGTGGTTTATGATAAAGCATCTCAAATGGTGTTTTCCATTTAACCACAGAAGATGAAAACCTATTAATGATGTAACAAGCAGTAAGTACACACTCAATCCAAAATTTAAGAGGGACATTAGATTGAAAACGTAAGGCTCGAGTAACCTCTAAAATATATCTATGCTTTCTTTTAACAACCCTATTTTATTATGGAGTGCCAACACAAGAGCTTTGATGAACAAGACCAAGAGAAGAAAAGAAGGGGGAACACTCAGAATTAAAAAATTTAGAGCCATTGTCACTCCTAATTATTTTAACTAAAGCAGAGAACTGAGTTTGAGCCAAAGAAAGAAAATGTTTTAGAGATGAAAGAGCATCATTCTTATGCTTCAACAGATATAACCAAGTCATCCTAGTGTGATCATCAATAATAGTTAAAAAATCTATGACCACTATGTGTAGAAACTCTATATGCACCCCATAAGTCAATGTGAATAAGCTGAAATGGGACAGATGACCTAGAAGTACTCACATGGAAAAATAATCTAGCTTGTTTAGTTAAAGGACAATCATAATACTTTTGAATCAAATCTTGCTAAAATTTAACAGTTTGCAAACAATATATTTTATTCATCTTAAAAAAGGCAGCATGCCCTAATCTAACATGCCAAATACAAGTATCAGTTTTGGCAGAAGCCTTATAAGAAGCAGTAAAGGAAAACTGATTCAAAGCAGAAGGTTGAAGAACAGACAAACCAAAATAAAAAGAATGGGACTAAATAAAATACAAGCCTCTAGACGCCCTACCAATCCCCTTCATTTTTCCAGTACAGAGATCCTGTAGGAGACAAAAATCAGGATAAAAGGTGAGGAAGCAACCAGGGTCATGAGTAAGCCGAGATACTGAAAGTAAACTGTGGAACAAATAGGACATTTTCAAGTTTATATTCTGAAGTAAGAGAACAAGAACCAAGGTGAGTAACAGGAACACTTTTACCATCAGGAAGATGTATGAAACGTGTGAAAGAATCACAAGGAATGAGACAATCCAAGCTCTTTAAATAAAATATAATATGGTTTGTAGCTCCTGTGTCAACAATCCATTTAAGTGAAGCATTAAAATGTAGGGAACTGTTAGCAAATATACCTGCAAGATTAACAGCAGATTTTGCAGAATGTGACTTGTTCAATAGCTGCAGAATCTGATCATACTATTCTTGAGTAAACACTGGAGCAGAAGGAACAGAATTAGAACGAGTGAAAGTAGACATAGATTCAACAGAAACACTAGAATTTGCCACAACACTTGAAACTCCTTTCTTTTTAGTAAACTTGTAATTCGAAGGAAATCCTAAACGATATCACTGATATTTCTTGTGACCTTTAATCTTGTAGTAATCACAATTTCTAGAGAACCTTTTGCATTCAGAAGAAGCAGTAGAATTAGAGAACAAGGCTATCGTATCAGGTGCAGCAGCTATAGATAGATGAGATCGCTGTAATTCTTCTTGAATCAACATAGAATAAGCTTGATTCACTGTTGGCAAAGGCTGCATGAGCAAAATCTGACTCCAAATTGCTGAATAAGAGTCATTTAAACCCATCAAGAACTGAAATAGTTTCTGCTGAACGAGATGTTTCATGTTCTGCTGGGAAACTTCACAATCACAAGTAGTGAATGGAATCAAGGACTCATATTCATCCCATAACATCTTCAAACGAGTGAAGAAACCATAAATAGTAGATTCGCCTTGACAAAGTGTAGCGATTTCTCGATGCAAAAAAAATATACGAGAGCTGTCGACCTTATCAAACCTCTCATGCAAATCGTTCCAAACAGAAGCAGCACTGGAGGCAAATACCAGCCCAGCTGACAAATCTTTGCTAACAACATTTAGAATCTAAGATAAAATGACAGTATTACACCTATCCCATTGAACCTGCAAAGCGTTACTGTAATCGCTATGCTGACAAGAGCCATCAATAAACCCTAGCTTGTTCTTGGAGAGCAATGCAATCTTCATTAAACAGCTCCAATACTTTAATTGTCTAAGCCAACTAGCGGTTGAGAGACGAGTAGAAGCCCAGGCATGTCGGACGGATGTAGGTATAACAGGTGAGTGAAATCGATCTCCTCGGCAGAAGGCATTTTTGAGAGAAGAGGGAATTGGGGAAAAATGTGTAATTAACCGGAAGTGAGTAGAATGAAAAGAAAACAAAAGAGAGTGCCACAAAACAAAAGAAACAAAAAATGGAAGGACCGAAATTAGGCTGATACCATGTTGAAAATGCTTATAATCAATCATATTAACAAATGTATCAAATTACAGACATATATAGTATTAACACTAAGGTAAGTGCTTCTAACCAACCCCTAACTAACTCCTAACTACATAACAATATTTAACTAACTTTTCTACACTCAACATGATCTCTTATTTATGGAGCAGTGGTGCAAAAATAGCATTCGCCTTCAACCTCGACACCCTACCGGCACAATCTATCTCTAGTGGGCAACCTGTCTAACGAAGGAAACTAAGCTATAACAACATTCCTAGGAATATAGAGAGGGAACCAAATGAGACTTGCCCACTGAATCTGCCCCTGTTTCCTTCTTACCTCTGCTAGACAACTTTTACTTCAAACATCTCACGCATCACCCAACGTCTAGTATAACGGTCTATAAACTGACCAGTTATATCACGCAACCCCAATAATCTCCTCCAAAACCAGCCACAAGTTTTAGGAACCGGGAAGTCCATCAAATTTCTCCCCTTGAACACATATGCATCAACCCAATTCACCCGCAAAGTGTCTGCCTTAACCACCAGAGCCCATATGCTATTCTTTTGGCTAAATAGAGCCTCTCTACTATTGGAAAATCAATTTTTGCAATGGATGGAATATTGAAAAATTAGAGCTTTTTTATAAAATATTTTTAACGTGCCACATCGATATCTTTTAACGATAACAAATTACAATGACCCTAATGAATGTGAATTAAAAATTTAATGATTAAAGTAAAAATACCTTAAAAATTCAATGACTACCATATATTTTACGCTTTAATATATGCAAGTATTATTCATGGCCCAAAAATGCAAATATTACATATCATAATCGGTGAAAGTAATAATAAAGAAAATTCACAAAAGAATTGTGTAAAATCTATTTAATAATATTATTATATTAAAGAACCATCAATTAATTGATCTAACAAGATCAAATTTAAAATAAGATCCAAAGTATAAATTTTAATATAAATAAAATAAAATAAAATAAATTAAGAAGATGGTTTCCACAATGAATTTTATAATGTTTAATTTATAATAATATGAATTAATTAATTATAAAAATATTGGAGTATATTACAGATCGGAATTCTCATTAATTAAATGAAAAGTAGCCAAAAATCAATGCCCGGCCATTGGGTGCTGCACACGTGCATTTTGTGGTGGCTTTCTTTTGTACGTATCATGTAGTGTTAACACATCCATTCAGTGACTACCATTATTTATGTATGAGAGTCTCTTTTCCATTTACTACTACTTTTAGGAAGTGTTTCGTTTTTCAAGGCCCCAATTGCAAGATTCCATTCGCAAAAGGCCCAAAAACAAGTAATAGTTCTCAAGTATCAACATACGATGAGGTCAATCCATTCGATTGAATAAAATTATCCGATTATATTATGCGAATAAAACTCTATTCGATTTGAAAAATTATCTCAAAAGAATTTGATTTGAATTGATTTCGGGTTACAATTTTATAAACTCGACTTGAAAAAATTTCAAATTCAAATTGAATTGTAAAATTCAATTAGAATAACTCAAATAGTAACTCGAATGACTCAAAATTTTTAGTAGTTAGTGGATTGATTTTCAAGATTAAATAAAATCCCTCAACTCTATATGATATATGTATACCAAATTAAAAAAATAGAATAAATATATATTATATATAGTTATAAAAACATCATTTAAATTTTTAGTAGTTAGTGGATTGATTTTTAAAATTAAATATATGTTAGATTTAGTGAGGTGATTAGTTAGTAGTTTAGTTAAATTTATTAACATATATATATATATATATTAAAATAAAATAATATTTTAATATTATAAATATTTATAATTGAACTTAAAAAAAAACCCGACTCGACTCAAATTTTATAAACTCAAAAAAAAAAATTAAATTGACTTCGAATTATAAAATAAGACTAGTAAATTTAAATAACTACATTTTTTTATTCAACTTCTCGACAGTCACCCCTAATTGTATATATAATAATTGCATTTATAGGTTTTCATAATCATAATAAATTTAACATAATTTGATTCCATCACTTAAACAATTTTTTAAATGAAAACATTATATGTAAATATTAATATAAAATATACTTCATCAATTACGTTGGATGGCCAGAACCAGATAACAGATCTGTCATAAACTCAGTTTTAGCAGAAATACGTTTTTCCTACTTGTATATGATTATGTATACCTCCGTTAATTGCAGTCTCGTGGTTTACGGTTGAAAAAGGAGTAATAATCAATACAATATTAGAAAAAATATTTAATAACTATTTACTTATTTAAGAACTTGACAAAAAATAAAAAAAGCACTGCCAATTATTTTTTAATGATGAGTGGGAGGGTTTCCAAATATTACCGAAGCATTAACCCAGCAAACATATAACTAATACCAGAATCAAAATTCCGATCACCCAGCCAAAACAACCAAATCGAATAATTTTTTCTCAAGGAAAAAATAAACATTAATAGACTTCTTCAATCATCTTGCAACAAATTCAAAAATCAAAAGCTAATAGCAAGGGAGAGGGTCTTCTAGTGTTTTGAACTAAACAGGCGGGGCAGGGTTTTGCTTCTACTTCCTATTCATGCCTAACACAGAAAACGGGTTCCCCCCCTGATTAACAAGATGAAGATGATGAGGGTGATGAAGAGGGATAGCTGCCGAGCCATTAAGGTTTCCCTGCGGGGCCATTATAACACCACCCCACTGTGGATAATTGCTATGTAAATGTGCCTGGTACCTTGTATTTTTACCATAGTTACCACTTGGAAGAGAAGGATATGGACCAGCCACAGTTGACATTTGTGCCATAGGCATGGTTACGAGCCTCATTCCACCATTCTGGTGATGTCCAGAAGGGTAGTGCAAATAATTTGCAGGAATATATATTGGATAAGGATGATAAATCTGGGCATTGGGAAAATCCAACGGATGATTCTGTGATGAAGGGTAACCTGCATGAGATTTGTCTTGTTTAGCAGGAGCTGTTCTTGTCCGACTACGAGAATCTTGTTCAGGAGGAGCTATCCTAGTCCGACTCCGAGTTAAAGGGTAACTTCCACGAGAAACTGGTTTAGAAGCTGGCCTACTCTTCTTATCTTCTCTCCTCTTACCCTCCTGGTCCTGAGACCTATTATTTACATGTGGTATGTAGGGAGCAGTACTAATTGATAGTGGCAGAGCCTGCTTATCATCACTAAATCCATTACGATCCACTTTCAACAAGCTTTTAGCAATAAGTCTGTGTGATAACTCCCCAAGCTTACGGCCAGAAATAGATTCCGGAGGGTTATGCCTGAAACAAAAATCAAAACACAAACGTAAACCAATATTGCTTTCTGGAACTAAAGTTTTGATTGATAGGGTGGAAAGAAAATTGAAAAAAAAATGAAAATTAAAAGCAAAAAAGTGAAAGATGATTTTTTTCTTTTTATTGGTGTGCTTGAAGGAAAATGTAGTTTGCATAGAAACAATAAAATTAAGCTTTAAAAAAATATATATCTTGAACTAACTCACATCTCTCATATTTTCTATCTTCTTTTCCTTCCAAATTGACATTTATTTTTACACATGAAGGTGAACAATAATTACCCCTCATTTTCTTTCCCCTTAGTTTTCTTCCTTAACAAACACATTCAAAATTTATTTTCTTTCCACTTTCCAACCAGGTAAAACCTGGAAAAATGGGAGGGCGTGAAAAAAAGAAGAAAATAAATTGAGTGTTTGGTAGGAAAGAAAACGAGGGGTCATTTTCTATCCTCATGTGTGAAGACAAATCATTTCAATTTGAAAGGAAAACACGGGGATGTGAGTTAGTCCAAAATATTTATTCTTCAAAGCTTAATTTCTCCTCTCATTGTTTAACCCTACCAAGCGATGAACGCAAATAAATTTTTTGGTACAGTTAAACAAAGAAAGGAAAGATATTTTTAATTAAAAAAACATAATTTTGAATAACTTGCATCTCTCACATTTTCTCCCCTCTTTACCATTCCAATTTGGAATGATTTGTTTTTACATAAAATGAAAAATGATTATCCCTCTCATTTCATTCCTACCAAGCACACTGCACACTCAATATATTTTTCACTTTTCCACTCAACCAAGAAAAACCTAAAGGATAAACTCTATGCCAATAAAAAGTGAAGATCTAGAACAATATATATATATATATATATATATATATATACACGCAACATTTGAACATTGACCTTTCCACCGTAAACCGAACTGCAGATCTTCCATTTTCCCAAGGTCTCCTACTAGAATCTTCATGCCATAATACAGGTTTGGAATCTAAATCACTCAGTTGCACCATCTGAAGCACATTGCTAAATATATCAATAAAAACAATAACTAAATTGCCCACAGCAAGAATATGTTAAATCACCAAGTTGCACAAACTGAAACACATTGATAAAAATATCGATAAAAATATCAATAAAAATACAACTAAATCACCCACGATAAGAATAGTTTCCCATTTGTTGAAGTTCCTCACAAAAGTCATCTCAAATTCTTTCTCCTTTTGATTATCTTTTGTCAACAAAAAAAGCATAATATTGGTTTCCTGCATGACTTTTCTTAAGAATATTGTAGACATGTATGTGGAGACTGTTCTCCAAATACAGGGAGCGGATAATAACACCCAAAATTTGTTGATTGTGAAGCAATAAACTTCTTGAGGACTATGTTCAAGTCAGCACAGCCAAAGTCAATTGTTCATATGTCATATTAACAAAGTTATAAAAACAGCTGCGGCTTCAAAATATTTGATCATACCCAAGAATATTTTAATGACTCGATCAGTTGCTACGTTCAGATAATACAGAACAGGCAAGACAAGATCAAATTACAGGTGATACAACATTACTTTGAAAGGAAGTTTCTGAAAAACGATTACACCTACAATTAAGTAGAGAACTAAGCTCTGTACCTTAGGAGGTAATGCAACTCCAGCAGGAGGTCGGGGGATATGTTTATGAGCTTTTGGAGTTCTATACATACAACACCTGGAAAGCAGAAAGCCAAAACAGCCATTAATATATCTTTATTTAATGACCAGTCCCATGCATAGTCAAACTGAAACTTACATGACTTCATTGGCCAATATATCTTCCATGTCCTTGATTGGAGACCTGAATATAGGTGGGTGAGAGTCCCCAGCACAAGGGAATATGTAACCATTCATCCCATCACTGCAGGAATCCCTAAATAAATCAGAATAAAATGGTGGGGCATTTCTTTAATTAAAAGTAATCTTCTAATTATGCTACAAGACCATCATTCCAGATAATTGCTGAGCTACTTGTGAACTGACAAGTCTCAACACAAAAACAGAAAAACCAGCAGACCAACCAGTATTAAGATTAAGAGGACTATGAATCACAACTAGTCCAACAATAACAACATGGCAAATGACCCTGTAGCTTCTATCATTTCTAACAAAAACAGAAATACATATATCAGCATTAACTTTCCCATCCAAAAATGTTGCAATTTGAATCTGCTGTGAAAGAAATGTGCAGTCAACATAACAAAGATCGCATTAAGGACAAACCAACAATTCAGAAATTGCTAAGATTTAAAGCACATTAAGAGTACTGATTAAACCAACAATTCAGAAATTGCTAAGTTCTCCATTTAATCCTAGCAGCATTGCAGTGAATTCAAAGAAAAAGATAAGACTAATAGATTCGACAGACTAACCTTAATTCAAACAACAATTTAAACAGCACTTGGAACAAATTACCAAATAAAAGGGAAGAGGAGGCATAATCTAGAAATATGAAAGCATGGTGATTAAGTTTTTTCCTACACAAACCTCAAATCGGGTTTGACTTTGTCGACCGGAGCTTGTTGCCCTACTGTCAATTGTTTACACCGACTGTCGAGATATAAGATTTGTTCTGAGAGACGATGTGAGGCCGCCACAAAAAGCATGTCGCACATTGTACTGTTTCTTCGAACTTCTTCCTCCTGCATAAGTTTGTAGCATTTAGAGCACAGCAGGAACAATTTTTGGAAGAACAAATAGATTTAACAAAGGAGAAGACACACATGAACAATGATGATTATAGTGTCCTACCGTCAAAGTGTGTTCTATTTTCGCAACCTCTGCAAGAAGTCGCTCTTCGTCGATGAAAGGCAATTTTGCAATACCCTTGAGGAAGCAACAACAAAATAGATAAAAATCTTCAATAAATCACTCGGCATATGATACTAAACCAAATGAGAGTAAAAGATAAAAACTTACCTGCCATGAAAACCGCTTTCCATCCATGTCAATTTCAAAATCTGATAGAAAAGTTGAGTTACAATTTCAGATCTTATGGATGAAATTAAGAAATAAATGTGACGTTCATTTTGCAAAATTGCATACCAGTTGGATAAAAATCAATAATGGGTGAATTTGGATCAGCCATCAATTTCCTATATTGTTCAGGAAGTGCATGGGAACTGCAAAGCAAATTATCATTAGTATTTCACTGGCTCAGAAACTTACAAAGAGAACACAGTTGAAACGAGGAACAGTACCTTGCAGCAGGAAAAACCCCCAATAACTGATTAAATGGTTTGAAAGGGGAGCCCAGCTCAAACTGAATACCCAGTTGGGCAAGGTCCTTTAAATCAGATGCAAAGGGTGCATAATGATAAGGATAAAACCTGAAACAACAAAATTCAATGGCAGCACGTTGATTACTCATAGAATGATGCTACTAAAGTGGAAATATGAAATCCTGATCAACAAATCAACCTCACCAAACCAAAGTACAGTAAGGCTGAAAAGAAAATCAACATCGTCAGATCTGGAAAGGAATAAGATGAGTGAATCTAAAAACAATATTTTTTTTATAGGAATAATAGGCCTCATTAAAAACCTCCCTCTTAGTTAACTCTAGAAAGAGTAACTAGCGGAAGGAGGAAAAGAGTGCCTCAATTTATTGAATAGATAAACTATTACAATAATGTACACCAATACATTTAGGGCATCAGAATAAAACTATAATCCTTAAAGCACCCTATACAAATACCCTTACAATCAACCGATCCCATCATTAGCTAATTTATCTGCCTCCCAATTACATCCCTTAGGAATCCATCTAATAATAACTGCCCTCTCTAGCACTAAGGACACAATATCCAAAACAAGGGAACTGAAGAAACTAGGGACAGAATTAGGCAACAAAATCCAATCTAATTCATATTTGCAGTCACTTTCTAAGATCAGTCTTTCCTTTACAGCCCAATCTGATGATAGAAAAATGTCTAAGCCTTTCTTAATAGCTTTCAACTCAGCCAACGGAGCAGGGCCTGGACCAATACAAGCAGAGAAAGTTGATAAAATGATACTATTACAGTCTCTCAAAATACCTCCAATTCCACCAACCAACCCATCAAACTTGACAGCCCCATCAACATTAAATTTATAAAAACCTGCTGGGGGAAGATGCCAACTTTGTATCAAATTTCTATGAACATTCTGATAACCAAACCTGTCTGCAAGAGAGGGGTCCCCTACCAACAAATCAACTTGTATTTGGATACGGGGAACCTTAGCTAGAAACCATTTAGCCAACCTAAATCTTATTAGGAAGAAGAGAGGTTATATCAAGGCTAAAATTATCAAACACAATTGAATTCCTTGCTTTCCAAATAGACCAAAGAACTATTCCCGGGATGAATTTCCATATGTGCGAATTTTTCTTTAATTCAGACCATGAACTTAACAAAACTTGTGGATCATTAGGCAAAGCTGTATAAATGTCCCAAATCCTTAAAAATCTGTTCCAAAGATCCCCTGCAACTGAACATGAGATAAAAAGATGTTGGACTGTTTCTTTATTCTTTTTACAAAGTGGACATAGGACGTCTTCCATAGGAACCCCCTTTTCTTCAGCTCTATTTTGACTGCCAATTTTTTGTATATGATTTGCCAAAGGAAGGTTTCTACTCTAGGAGGAGCCAAACCTGACCAAACCCATCTTTTCCAAGAAAAAAGAAACTCAGGACTATTTGATAATGCCAACCTACAGGATTTCACTGAGAACAGACCGTCCCCCTTCCCAGACCAAGAAAGAAAGTCCTCCATTGAATCAGATAAATTAAAACAGTTTAGTGTTGCCATTAGATCGACCCATTGGTTCAATTCCCAATCACATAAGTTTCTTCTAGTTTGAACATTCCACACCCATCCATTTACATCAAAGCAACCAAAATCTACCACCTTACCCCTTTTATTATTTGATAATGCAAAGATCCTGGGAAATTGAGTCTTCAAGGGTAAGTCATTGACCCATACATCATTCCAAAACGAAATAGACTTGCCATTTCCCAATTGAGTCCTAGTATAAGACCTCAAACATCCTCCAATGTCATCATTTTGCAAATAGTTGTTCACAATTCCTTTCCAAATCCAAGAGTCTTGAGTTGAAACAACGTTGGAAATTGACAGGGATAATGTACTAACATTGTGTTTGCTGCATATAACCATTTTTCAAAGGGATTCTTTTTTCATTTGCAAATTTCCACACCCATTTACCCAGCAAAGCCCTATTTGTGATATTCAAATCCAAAACTCCCAAGCCACCATCCTCTAAAGGTTTACAAACTGCCTGTCAGCTAACCCAGTGCATACGGCTTTGTTTGATCCTTCCCCCAAAGAAAGTTAGCCATCGATGTATTAATTTTCTGCCTACTTTGAGCGGCATTTTAAAAATGGATAAGAAAAAAATCGGTAACGAAGATAATACCGATTTTATAAGCACCAATCTGCCCGCCATTGACAGTGAAGAAGCCTTCCAACCAGCTAACTTATTATTAAAATTCTGTAAAACCGGCTCCCAAAGTATTTCAGAGTTTTTCTTTGCACCTATAGGTAAGCCAAGATAATCCATAGGAAAACAACTCACTGAGCAGCCAATATCAGTCGCCCATTCATTTAAGGTAGCAGCTTCAACATTTATACCAAACAGTTTACTCTTAGAAAGGTGCAACCCTGTCATTAAACTAAAAATCCTCAGCACTCTTTTGATATTCTAGATATAAGGGAGTCATGGCAGAATAGAATAAGGTCATCGGCGAACTGTAGGTGAGTCAATTGGAAAGGATTAACTGATCTACCGATATCAAACCCATGAAACAGTCCCAAATCATAAGCTTTAATCAACATTAGATGTAGGAGTTCACCAATTAAATTAAACAATAGAGGGGAAAGACTACAACCTTGTCTTAACCCTTTTGCCATTAGAAATTCCTTAGTAGGAGAACCATTTACTAGAACCGAAATTGATGCAGAAGATAGACAATAAGCAATCCAAGAAACCCATTTCTCCCCAAAACCCATAGCTTTCATTAATTTAAGGAGAATCGGCCATTCCACCGTATCATAAGCTCTTCGAAAATCAACTTTGAATACTACCCCCTTCCTACCTTGCTTCCTCCAGTAGTCTATACCTTCATTAGCTAGGAATGCACAATCTAGCAATTGCCTACCAGGAATAAATGCGAACTGATAAGGGCTAACCAAGTCTTTTATACAAGAAACCATCCTTTTGGATAGAACTTTTGAAATGATCTTGTATAAACTGCCAACAAGGCTAATTGGCCTGTAGTCTTCTAAACTTTCTGGATTAAGTTTCTTAGGGATCAGGGAGATGAATGCATGATTAACCCCGTGGTCCCATTTTCTTCCACTATAAAAGTCGAAAAATAACTTCATGATCTACTCCTTTAACATAGGCCAATATTTCTTGAAAAATCCCATAATAAAACCATCTGATCCAAGGGCTTTATCACTAGCTGATGAAGAAATTGCTTCCCAAACTTCCTGTTCTGAAAAAATATCCTTGAGACGATCCCTTTGCTTAGCTGATAGCTTTGCAAAAACAAGTTCAATTTCTCCCACTTCCAGCGTAGAAATCGTATTGTAAGCTTTTTTGAAATACTCAGAGACATGAGACTTAATCTGAACTGTGTCTGTCAATTCCACACCATCCACCTTCAAAGCATTAATGGTATTAATTCTGTTTCTGTTCAAGGCACTTAAATGGAAAAACCTCGTGTTCCTGTCTCCCTCTTTGACCCACCTTACTCTAGACTTCTGGCGCCAAATGCTTTCCTCTATTCTGTGCAGTCTCCGTAGCTCACTTCTGAAAAACAGTAAACGGTCCCTATCCTGAGGAGAAAAGGTAGGTGACTTCAATTCCAATTCATTTATTTTGCAATCAATTTCTGAAATAGACTCTGAGATCCCAATATGTTTACTGTTGGACCAACTCATCTTCTTTTTAGTACCTTTTAACATGTTAAAAATTCCCCTACCTCCCTTATTCTTCTTCCAATCAGCCAAGGAATTTTCAACCAAATTATCGAAACCTTCTTCCTTTAATAGATAAATAAAAAATCTAAAAGGTTTGGGGCCCCAGTTCTACCCATCTTCTTCCAGCACAACAGGATTATGCTCCGATAGAGATTTGGGTAGTATTCGTTGTATCAATTTAGGGAAACTCTGTAAAAAATTGCTACTCACCAGAAAACGATCCAATTTTACCCACGTATGAGACTCTCTATTGTTGCACCAAGTGCACATACCTCCTAATAAAGGGAGGCCAATGAAGTTTGTTTGTTGAACAAAAGATCTGAGCAGATCTATGGCATGCCAATTCTAAGCAACTCCTTATTTCTCTGTTGGATTAAGATAAGCATTCAGATCACCCCCTATGCATACTGGAAGGTTTAAGTTTGACACAAAACTCAACAACTCCCTAAAGAACTCCTACTTTTCTTCCTCAACAGACAGGCCATACACATTAATTAATACACACTCAAACTTATACAACTTGAACATCCCTGATATTGCCATAAATCTACTGTTCTTTTCTTCTCTTATAACTTGAAAAAAAAAATTCATTCCATAAACACATCAACCCTCCTGCAGACCCATCAGCTGGATAAAAACATTCACCTTGTAACATCTTACCCCCTAATCTTCTTAGCCCATTAAAGCATTGATTCAGTTTCGTCTCCTGTAGGAATAAGAAAACTGGTTTATTCCTATTTACTAGTCGAGCTACTGCTCTTATTTTTTCCTTTCTCCCTAAACCCCTTATGTTCCATGAAATAATTTTAAGATTTGACATTGGAATATTAAATCTTAAAACCCCTCAATAGGAAGACTAAATTACTCCATTTCTTTCGTAGACCCCTACTTTTCCATCTTCATAATCTCCTCTTCTAATAAATGTTGCCCTGAAAGTAATCCCCAACATATTACAAACTTCCCTAGTTGTAACCGCTTCTTTCGCAGCTTTAACAGAAGAGTGGGAAGACTTTGAGGACGATCTGACTTGTTCCAAAGATTCCCTGACCATACTTCTATACACCCTTCTATAAACTCTATCAAAAAAACTGATTGACACTTCCCCCTCTGAGCATACACTACCTGAACGACGTGGAGCAATTCTTAGCCTCTGATTATTTAAACTTTTTGCCCGATGAAGAAACTGAACATGATTTTTGGAAGAGTACAAACTAATCTCCTTTCTTTTGATCTGACCATCCATAATTAGCTCTGAACTAATTCCATCTTGATTCACAGAATCTCGCCTTACACATGAGCTGGAAGAGCTACCCTCATTTAGGCCAATCTGATTATCATCCTTGACCCTTTTCAACTTCTTTAAACCAACCCTCTGCTGAACAGAAACTTTACCCCTCTCTAACTCTTTAGAATTCATTGAATCTCGACTTCTCAAGCCAACATACTGCTCTTTATCCATATCAACCTCCTGCTCACTGTTTGACATTCCTTTCTCTCCCCGTGTCTTTTCTTTCACCAACATAATTGCACCCTCATCAACAACTCTATGATTAACTGAAATTTTATTGGGCTGGGGAATAAATCTACCGGTATCATTCTTCTCCCCTATCCACTTAGGATTTAATGCAGGCCCAGTAGGGATAATTTTCCTTATTGGTGAAAAATCAACCCCAATTTCATCTGATTGGGCTTTATCCTCCGGTTCAAAAGTTTCCCTCAATCCCAGCCCCACGTGATTCCCATTCTGATTTATCATATTTTTCATAAAAACTGACAGCCCGCAATTAGCAATTTCTTCAGTGACTTACTCGATGGGACTTGTCCCCTACTGACTTCATTCACACCACTGTTATGTCCATTGTTATGTCCATTGTTCATCCAAGATGAGACTTTATGCCTGGACTCCTCTGATATCTCCTGGTATAGCTGCTGCCAGAGTAGGACGCTGCCCATCCCCCTGCACAGATAGGACATAATCACTGTGCAATATTTTTGAAAATTTCTCCTCTGTCTTCCCCACCAATTCTTCTGGTTTTTTAAAAACAGAACCCACAGATATCTTCACTTTAAACGATATGCCATAAGATCCAATTGTAACCGTATCAGAGACATCAAATGGACTTTCCACTCTGAGCAGTACTTTTGCCAATGAAAAATCTGTTCTGCTCTTTGATTCTTCATTAAAACAAATGAATTTTGCCCACCTCCCAGTAAGTTTTTTCATGAATGCCTCATTCCAGTACAATAGAGGCATTCCATACATCTCTACCTGACAAAGGGCCAATGGAACTCCTTCATCATTCAGAACCGGAGCCAACCAATCAAAGCATAAGCACAACTCATCTTTCTTATTCTTCCATACATATGTAAGCTCATCAATCGTATTGAAAGTAATAATGCAAGCATTCCATGCATAACCCCATTTCGATATCTCAGCTTCCACTCCCTCGATCTTCAAAGCTTCCTTTATTGAACCCTGCTCATAAGAAGGTTTCATTATCCCTGTTAATGATCGTTTAACCTACTCTGAATGGTCTCCTGGAATATGCATCTCCCATACATTTCTAACACCAATTGCATTCTGCTTTATACACTCCAATTTCTCCCCTGAAACTTGTTCTCTTCTCTCATTAAGACCATTATTCACAACATCCTTATAAGATCTGCCATCCCTCAAGCTTCTCACCGACTCAATTTTCCTCTCGGTTTGTGTAGTTTCCTGTTTATCTGACTTGTTGTCCACCATCCTCTTCCCTTCAGCAGCTTCCCTCTTACTCTTTTGATATTTTACAATCCCTACCGAGATACTTCTCCCATCAATCCACTTACCATGAACATACTGAATTGCCTTCTTTCTACTTTCTTCACCAGCAAATTGGACAAATGCAAAAGTTGAAGACTTATAGTTTGGTTTCTCTAAAAAACGTAGGATAAAAATTCTTAGAATCTGACCATAAGGACTAAAAAGATCCCTTAAACCACCTCTCGTAACTCTCTTGCTAAGATTATCAATGAACATAGTCCATTCCTCATTGGAGACGTTGGACTTTTTTGAAATTTCCCTAAATCTCTCTTTTACCTATCGCACTCATTCTCTCTCTATCCAGCCACCACAAAAATAATAAATGATGGAAACAAGGACAAGCAAACAGAGGAACGCTTCCCAACTAAAGTAATATAAACCATTCCCTGAAGGAAAATAAACACACACAAAAGCCCGCTAAAATTCCCCTTAAAAGCCACTGATAGAAGAAGCTAAAAGTGAAACTCACCACCTCCAAGAACAAATCCCTTCATAGTAATAGTGCATGACCCAACATAGACCTTCCGTGAACTTCAAAACCTAAACAAAATAAGCTCTAGCATATAAGATTATCAGATAAAAAAACATAATATAAAACGTCCTCAAAAAACAAAACTAATTACTCACAACATCTTTTCGTACTGTTTCCATTTCTTCTGGAGTTTTTGCCAAAAACTTTTCTTGATAATACCTTTCTTTCCACCCTGACTCTCCCAGTTTAATCTGACAGGAGCAAGTAACCATAGAAGAAGCTAAGATTAGGATTCTTACGTTATAGACTAAAAAAGGGAATACATTCTAAAAAAAGAAAATTAGCAAGAGGATCTTATGAGTGCATAATATGCCTAAACATGAAAAGTAGAGATAAGACAAGTGGATGCAGCATACATGTAGAAATGTAAAAAGACAACTAATTTCAAGTTGAGTTTCAAAAAATGAGTATTGCCCATACCCAAAATATTAGTAGAAACTGGATAAAAAAATCCTAAATTACTCGTGAATAGATAACATCATATTACAAAACCTTGTCTTCCTCATGATTGTTGGAGATAAAAACATCGGTTTTCTCACGGATAAACTCCTTCAGTTTTGCTTCAAATTCTTCTTTGTTCTCATGTATCTGATGCAAATGGGGAGAAAGAAACAGATGCCATCATTTTAATGTAAGAACAGTCCAGTAAATATACATAGCAGGATAGTTAAGACACTCATAACTTATAGCCAATAAGGCTCAAACCTAACCGTAGTTTAGTCAATATGAGTCCTAAATAATGGCCAAAAGTATCACATTTACAGTACCTCTCCTGAAGAAGGAAAACATATGTTTGATTCAATATTATCCTTTGTTTTGATAGTAGAAGCACTGACAGCGGCCCCTGATTTTAAGCGTTGCACTTTGCTCGGTTGACCATTTGACTCCATTGTTTGCTGAAATGGTGCAGGTGAAGAACCAGAGGAAAGACGGGAACCATTAAATCTAGCAACTGGAACAAAAGAATCAGGTTCAACTTTAGGCTCAACATCATCTCCTCTTCTAACTTCTGCTTTTCTATTCTTGATTCTATGTGCTTGACGCTGTATGGTGTCAATATAAAACAAATTACAATTGAATTCATTTGTAAAGAAAAGTCATTTTTAATACATTTATTCCAAGAATCCCCAAATCAGATGATTCATTTAAGGTGTGCATAGAGGCTCTTTCTTGGAAAATTGAAGGATCAATGGCCTATAACCTAGGTGAAAACACAGGTAATATTGACACACAAAATAAAAGACAAGATGCAGGTTTCAAGGTTCAAATGATGATAGTTTACAAGAGTTTGGAAATAATCTCATTGGCTGCACAAGAATTGATAAAGGAATGAAAACATAAAAAATACCAAATGCAACATGAGATATCAAACCACAAGGCAAGGTCCGTCACATTTTTTTTAAAAAAAGTGAACATGAGCAAGTTTCCCAGAAACTTTTGAATTATGAACAGAAGTCAAAACCTAGAACATGAATGAAATTTTGCTTCAACTAAAGATAATCATTTTGAACCTGAACTCAACAAACCTGATGTGATTGTGCTCTTTTCCTGAATATTTGTTCTTCATAGGATCCCACAGCTTGTATAAAATGCTCTACCCGACTCAAATTTGGCTGAAATGAAAAACATGCAGTAAAAAGCGTAAGTGTGCCTGATGAAATTAGATGACTGGAATATTGCACCCAACACAAATGATAATAACAGGGACCTTGCTTCCATCGGTCAAATAACCACCCATTCTTCTAAATTCCTTCTTGTATATGGTCATTAACAAGTTGATTGCACCCTGTAAATTAACAAATCAAAGAGAAAAAGTTTCCTACTTAAACCTCAGTTTTATACATGAAACTTTTAATAATCCATTCATAAAATTAATAGAAACACAAAAGCCAATTGTTGAATAATTACTTCAACCACATACAAACCTCACGAATCTCTAGCGTAGGCATATGAGGTAAGAAATCATTGCCCACAAAGAAGCACATGAATATAAAATCATCCACAACGTGTTCGAAGTCAATTTCAAAAGGAGGATTACTGATTCTGAATTCATGTTCCAGATAATTCCTGAGTGTCCATATGTTTAGAAACTGCAAAGAAAGCATATAACAAGTTGTAATTTATCAAAGACTTTATTGTCACTATTTCAAATGTAAAGATTTACCTGGTATGGCTTTCTGTCAAAAGCCTTTATATCACCTTCCTCATCAAATTCTCCAGCCTTCCGCTTTACCTTTCCTTCACAATCTGCCGCTCTATGCCCCATCTGACGACACAAGATACATTTTTCTTCTCTAGGGTTGAAGATAACCTGAAATTTTTCCATAAAACATTTTACTTTTGGCAAAAAGGAAGCACGAATGCACGATAACAGAAAGACAATATCTCAGCTGTAAAGCTACTAAATCAACATTTCACACGATTCTCAAAACGTAGATATCTACATGTTAAATATCATACCTCTCGAAGGATTGAAAAGTGAACTTCGTGAGTGGCCAAGGCCAACATAATTAAATCAGCATCCTGTCAATAGTCAACAATTAAAAGAGTACACAAATTTAATCCGGTAAAGATGGCCAACAAAAATAACTATAAAAAATTTTAAATCCAATATGGTGGCAATGGAGGGAGAAGTATACCAAACCATACAAGCAATGGCGTGTATTTGGATCAAAACCAGGAAGGTTCCTTTGGAGCCGTATATATGAGATGATTTTATGTTCTCCTTCACCCGGAACATTGGCATCAGACAGAATAACCTTAAAAAAGATGAAAGTCAGAGGAAAGGCCAAAACTATCCACCATATCAAAAGAAATCAACCAAAAAATAGAAAGAACCATAACTTTGAAACTACCTTTATATTTTTCCAACCAGGGTCATAATTTAATCTAAGGTGGATATAGTACTGCAAAGCAATTGACAGAACAGCCATAAATGAAGTTCCAGGCGTGATAATATTTGAATCAGAAAGCAGCGTTTCCTCTTTGGGAGGAAGTCTTTTGCCCTCCCTCTCAAACTCCTCTCGAAGTCGTGCTTCTTCAGCTGCCTGCAAAAGGAAAGTTGAAGAACAAAATATTACCATATTGGCTCTTTTGTTGCAACAAATTCTTTCACTGAAGCGTTTGAGAATATGAAATGCCTACACCAAAAATTCTTGCTGGTCTAACATTTCATCCAGTATGCAGGTTAACATGTGAAAAAAGAAAAAATATATAGTATACCCAAGCAATGATAAGAAAACATACCGCTTCTGCAGCATCTTTGGCTGCTCTAAAGCGCCTAGATCGCTGTTGATTCATCTTAGCCCGAGGGGCAACACCATCTACGTCATTTTCCATATCAAATGTTAGTATCATCAAATAAATATAAAATACGCTTTATCTCTAAGTTAAAAAGTATCTTAGTATCGCTCCACCTAAAGTTAATAGCAACTCACCAATAGCCATAAACAAAAGCTTTCGAGGACGGACCATAACAAACAATCTATCTATGTAATCAAAAATGCGCTGAAATACTTCTTCAAAAGTTCTTGGAGAGGACTGCATGAGATGAAATCAAAATCACCAAATTGAATTCATTCTGGAGATTCAAACGAAACATTATACTGGAAGCAAAGTCGTAAGTTAAGTGTGTTAAGAGGGTTACGTACTTTGTCCTCGGGGTGGAAACAAGGATGAATGATCCCATTCATATCGAGATAAAGATTATCATATTCGATTCTGTTAGGGTTAGGTTTACTCGTATCCACCGGAATGGAGATGCCGTCGGCCACCACCGGTACTTCCTCGAGGACTTCAACCAGAATACGCGGATACTTCTCTGCTAACCATTTGTAGAACGTTGGAACTCCCATTGCCAATCACTCCGAATTTCAAAGATAAAGCCCTAAAATTAAAAAATACGCGAAAGGAGGAGAAAAACTAGGCTTGCTGGCTTCAGAGTTTTTGCTTCTAACTTGAGCTCTATTTGAATCTGCTTGGGCGTAAGTCGAATTAGGGCACACGGGAAATTGAGAGACAAAAATGCCCCTGTGGAGATATGACGAAAAGCTATATAAAGGAGCAGGAGAACAGGGGTGTCTGTGAGTTTGTATGTAGGGAATTTCTGTATTTCCTTTTTTGATTTTATTTATTTACTCTCCTCGGCAAGTCGGCGGTGGCCTCTAGATTATCACGTAACAGTAAAACCAGTTAAGCTAAAGGAATGGGTCAGATATTATATCACTTGGATTTTGATGTGGGCCTTTTCATTCGACCGTGATTTTTCTAATCTTTTCCGAATCAAACCCGTTGGGCTGTGACCCTTTTATTAATAACAACTCAAATACGATAGTTGGATTTTAATTTAATTGATTCTATTTAATTAATCAAACAATGACAAATTGTTTGATTAGATTGAAATTTTTATTTTTTTTAAGTGTATCTTAACAAATATTCATTTAATGTAATGATAACACTTAAAATAAAAATATTTCGTACAAATCGAACAAAAGGAAAAACAATATGATGTGTTTAATAGATATTTTTAATACTTTGGTTGAGTGATGAATTTTTCAACAATTATAGATTTGTTTAGCCTGCACATTATTAAAAGGGTAAACTACACAAATGGTCATTAATGTTTGAGTAAGTTTTCATTTTTTCCACTAAAGTTTCAAAAGTGATAAATTGATCACTAATATTATCAATTTGTTATAAAGCGATCACTCGTTGTTAAAAGCCATTACTGCAATAACAGAATGATGATACGACATGTTACATAAGTTGACTCGCACGTTTGACCAATCATTTGTCTTTTCTTCTTCTTCTTCTTCTTCATCATCATCATCATCATCATCATCATCATATTTTTCTTCTTCTTCTTCTTCTCTAATGTGCCTCTTATAGATCTGGTTTAAATCAAAAATCAGTTTCATACTTCGAGCAGTGGCCTTTTATCTGCTGTGAAACCTTTCCCTTTGGTTTAAGTGGAGAATTGATAAAGAACTTTGGAAAGTAGGTTCATCCTTTTCACTGGACACTTTCTATTGCTTATGGTTCAAGTCAAACATAAGGGAAGTGTTGGAAAAAATCGATAATTTTGGAGTTTTGAATGAGAAATTTTTATGAATAATGGATTCGGAAGGAGTAGCCAAGTCAACAATTATAACTACTACAATTGTCCAAAAGAACACATGTCAAGAAGGTGTCAAGGACGTTAGATGAATTCATTCATTCATCATGCATTTAATTGTTTATCTTATAAGGAAAAGGGGGAACATAATAGGCCTGGGAAATTGTTTATGAAAAATACTTCCTTATTATTTATTCTTCTATTTTTCTATCTCTTTTCTAGTTCTTTAATTTCTTTTATCTTAAAGTGCATAATTGTTCTTAACATAGGTTCTTTCGTTGAGATGATATGGTAGGGGATTTTTCTTTTTCTACAAAACCAGCTCATGTGAAGTTGCCATTGTTTACTGGAAAAGATCCAAAGGAATGGATTGCTCAGCTCAATAGTTTTTTGAATTTCATCAGATAGAAAATCATGGTGGAGTTATGATGGCATCTTTTCGTATGGAATGGATAGCTAAAAAACAGTTTCGATAGATGCAAAGATGGCAACAGTTGGTCGGATGAAACCATTTCGTTGATGCCATTTGAAAATGATTTTTTCCTCAAAATTAGAATTGCGAGATAATCTCTTCTGTCACCATTGATCATTCTCCTACTGCAATCTCAATAAAGTTGGGGCAAATGTTCAAGCCTTGTTCTGAGATTGAGGGATCATGTAATCCCTAAATTTTTATTAGAGACCAAAATGTAAGTTTAGCGGTCAAAGTATAAAATTAGGAAAAGTTTAGGAATCTAAATGGCAATTTTCCCAAAAAAAAATTATTTCATAAATATATAGTTTACTTTTGAGAGTGGGGTTTTATTGAAATCATATTTTTGATATGAAATTTACGTTGAAAACTAGAAATGGTTAAAGTCCGATAAGAAATTGATAAATCGTTTCGAATAGAAAATTCGAGAAAAATTGAAGGATGATAAATTAGGCTTAAAAATATTATTTCCACATGTCAAAATGATGGAAAATAATATTGATCATTGGATTTGAAGATTTATTTCCATGTTTAATTTGGACTGTTGGATCAAAGTAGCAAGATTGTAATTTTTGGAAAGTTGTTTGGTAAAATTGGAAAAAGGGTAAAATATTTTGTTCATCTTTTATTTTGGAAAGATGATAAGGTTATGTGGCTTGGTATTATTATAAATATCAAGTTTCATTAATGGCAAAATGTGCATTTCTCATTAAATGAATATTATATTTATTTATGCTTAAATAGTGGTTAAATTAACATGAAAGTACATGAAAATTTCATGTAAACTTAGCCAAAATCAGCTCCATATCCCTGTACCCCAACCTAAGGTAAGATAAAATTTCCTTTCAATTTTTAAGCAATTTCCTTTGGTTTTTGGATCGTGCCGTGAAATAGAAAATTGTTCTACATGAAAACACTATCATTTGGTACCAATATTGCATGCTAATCTGCTTGTGTTGAAAGATCCCAAAATTTTAGGGTTTGTGTTCACATTAGGGTTTATGGAATTGATGAAGGATTTTAATGTTTTTGAGGTTGTAGAATCATATACAAACATGATTGATGATTAAAATCACTTGTACATGGCTATATAAGCTCATGTTGAATTTGATCAAACCCTAGATTTACGGGAAAGAAGTGTTTTGATGAAATTTGATTAGGGCTTTGATTTTAGAGGTCTTGAAATGTCAAATCGAGGTTGATTTCATGTTAGAATCTAGTGAAAATCTTGAAACCCTAAACTACATACCATTCGACCTTGAGGAAATAAGTTGGAGAAAAATTGTAGAAAAATTCTCATGGCTTAAAAATGATATTTGGAATGTTATATAAGCCTTAGAAAATATTTTGGGCCAATGTGTAGTTTTTCAAAAGTTGAGGGACTTATTCGGCAATTTTGAAAAGTTATGGGTTGAATGTGTAATTATTAAATAGATGATATAAATTACTTGAAATTACTATTTGAGGGCTGAAATTGAAGTTAGAATGTAAAATTTAGCTATTTTGGAAAGTTGGAAAAGTTTAAGTACAAAATGACAAATATTGGAAAAGTTAGTGACTTAAGTGGTAAATATGGCATTGTTGAGGTATTGGGATGTAAATTAAATGCTGGAAATTTAATGGGATTATTTGGGCTTGAATTGAAGAATTTATGACAATGGCTCATTATGAATAAAAAGGAAAAGTTAAGATGAATTTTAAGAGAATTCGAAAATAATAATACTTTTGAGTATTATTATTTTGTAAAAATGTTAGTAAGGATACTAACATTGTATTTTATATTTGTATGTGTGATTATGGATGCTTGTGTAGATCGTGATCAAATTTGTGATACAAGCAAATCAAAAGGCAAGGAAAAAGTTCAAGAATAGTCAGACTTTGTCAATAAGGCATAATAGTGAGGCATACCAGATGAGTGCATTTATTATGTGCTTATATGATATGAAGATGATTTGCGATGAGTCAACCTTGAATGTTTTTATAAAAGCATGTTTTACCGTATTTTGAAATATTTTCATAAAGTTTATGAAAATGATTTTACGAATAAATTTTAGGGTATGAACTGCCCTAAGATAGATGGATGAACTTTTATATTATTTTATCAGCTATCGATGTTTCAGAATAAATGTTTAATCTGTGAATTTGATTTAAAGGCCTATTGTATGTGCATTGAGAGTCATAGGTGCATTTTGACATACTTGGAGTATGATGGTTATTGATTGATTTTGTTTAACGCATATGTTGCATTTTTGTATCAGTACATTTGTGTACTTTCGAAACTATGTGTGCATTCATGGTATTCATAATGAGTTTTTGAATTACCATTTTGATATATTAGTATAGTGTCGCTGTTACTATAATACTTATACTTTCGTTTAGCATTTATGTGCAACTCGTGTACCTTGTATTCTCATTTTTCATACATTGGGCTATGAATGAATACCTTTGAATATATCGATTGATAGGCATGTTGGGCATACTAAATATTGTTTTGTAGGTTATTTGACGGAAACTTGGCTTATCAAAGTAAGTTTTTATGCGTTTATGTATTGTATACGATAAATCATATTTTGATCTTATAATGGTTTACTCATGATTTTAAAATGCCTTATTTATTATATTATGACTCACTAAGTGAATACTTAGCGTACGATGATCTTCACTCGTAGGTAATAGAATAAGATCGGAGTGAGGATTGCAACTGATATCATCTGTCTAGGATTACCTCATCAGTAACAGTATGATATCTCTAGATGTTTATTTTGATATTACTAGTCGGTATGTACTTATATATTATATGATGCTCTGATAGGACATACGGTAATTGGTTTGTAGTAGTACTATATTATGCTTAAACTTAAGCTACTATGTGATGGGATTTCAAAATGCTATTTATATATTTAGTAGTTAATGAACAAAAATTTTATATTATAATATTAAATCATTTAATTTTTTATTGGTTTTCAAGTACAATGATGTTTTAAAAGTTATGTCACATCTATGACTCGTGTACGGGGACTAATACGATGAATGGGTATTATAGATCACATGAATTTGTTATGAATCAAAATAGATCAAACATAAAGAGTCTCCAAGTATTCGACAATTTGTCAACACCAAAAGCAAAACAACATTGAAGACCAAACAAATCCAAGCAATAAGGACTTGATTTTCCAAGTGATATAACAAGAACCATATGTTCATCTAAACCCGTTGAGATAACAAAAATTCACGTTGAAAATCAGAATTTTAAAATACAAGAGCAGTGGTCAAAGGAGATGAGGAATCTGCTTGTATTGAGCATTTACAATCATATCGATGACAGTAAGTGCAGGAACCATCACTTTGAATTCATTTTTCAAATTCATTTTTCAAACTAAATATTCAACATTAAATTTTTTAATGTTGTATGTAGCGCCTATTGTTGATGATATATACAAATCGCTGCGTATGAGAGTTGCATATAAGAGGTTATCAATTAGATCTTCCATGTTTA